CTTTTACCTTTTTTTTTTCCTACCACCTAACACAGCAGGTGCTTAATAAATCTTTATTGGTTGATTGATTCAGTCATGTGTCCCAAGCTCCACCTAAATGAGTTAACTTATCTTTTCTCAAACGAGTATACTACAAAGAGAGTTGGGAGTGGAGTCAGAAGACGTGAATCAGAAACCTCATTCTTCCCAATGTGGTCATGGGTAAGTCATTTCATATGTTTAAGTGTCAGTTTTCTCAGGTGTTCAATGATGGGGTTAGGCTAGATAAGCACCCAGCTTTAAAAAAAAAGTCTAAATAAAATTGAGCATTGTGATAAAACTATACTTTACCTAGGTAGCTCCTTATACTATAGCGGTGCATCGGATGAAGCACTATGGGCCCAAAATCAAGAAGACCCACATTTAAATACAGATTCAGATTTTAGACCCAGCAAAGTAAGTTAACTTCTGTCTGCCTCATTTTTCTCAACTGTAAAATGGAGATAAATAATAACACCTATCTCTCAGGGTTGTGACAATTACATGAGATAACATTTGTAAAGCATGTTGCACAGGGCCTTGCACATTTTAGGCACTCAATACATGCTCATTTCTTTCTCTTTCTTTCTGATAGTCATGGAGCCCTAAAATATTAGTTAGGACTCTCACATCTTGATATACTTGTGGGGTTAAAAAATCATGCTTCTCATCAGTATCACATTTCTTAAGAGATTAAATTTTTACGCATGGAATCAATAGCCTGGTAAGGTATGGCTTTTAATACTACAGACCTAAGCAATATATCTCAGAACTCAAGTTTTAGGACTGAATGAATCAATAAATAAATGAATTAAAGAAAATCTTCTACCTTGAGGTGGCAAACCACCAACATTAAGCCAGGGAACTTTTATAATGAGTGCTAGGAAAACGTATCTAGAGTATGAAATCACCAGCAAGCAAGGTTACGTGACTATTCAATTGCTTTAAACAATAACTTTTAATGGATTTCACTAAATGTCTTTCATGTAAATGTCATATGTATATAGCATCCAGGTTGTAACCCAGACATGTTTCATGCCTCTCAGATTCATAGACTTTGTTGTAGATGATCTTGGTTAATCACCCATGGGCCACTAGCTGTTAGAGCTAAAATCAGGGCAATTGGTGGTATTGTAAGATTTCCTCCAACTATCAATATTTCCTAGAAGAATGACATCTGTACATTTGCTCAAAGTAGGCACTGGAGAAGACAGAGGGATTTCACTAATCATTTGTTATATTCTCCATATACCCAAATCCGTCACATGAGATTGTCCTGTGTACTGTATAGACTGCTGACTGTATTCACACCAGTACTCTTTTGAAAAATAACAACATTTGAGAAAAATGTGAATTCTGTAATTTTTGGTGATCCATCCCATTTCTTCTGTTTGGTGAGCAGTTAATGATGTGCCGATAGTCATGGATCCTAATAATAAGCTCAGAAAAAAAAAATTAACTTTTTTTTCTGAGATCTTTGGAGAAGTGGTTCTCATTTTGCATATGGTTTGGGTTTTTCTGTCCTTGCGTATTTTCATCAGTCTTCCTTTAGTTGAGATCCTCGAACTGACAACCCACTGTCTGCGATAAGGCTTGACTTAAAAGCTTCAGCTAAAGCAGGACAATTAGCCAAGACAACAGCAGTTTGCATCATCTGGGATCTTAGATATTAATATGTCTACAAAACTCATAGTTCTATCATATTTTGAGTGTTTTTGGCATTATAGCTCAGGACTTTGCCATTTTTATTGCACTATTCTGAAAAAAAGAAAGCATTTTAGTAGATTATGATTTCAATATTCTTCAATAGGGTCATATGTCAACTGCAAAAATTAACATGACATTAAGCTGAATTAAGAGAGGTGCAGAATCCAGAGGTGCATATCACTCTTCCCTGATTAGATAATAGCTAGAGTCTTGTGTTCATTGTAGGGAACTAATTTTAGGAAAGGGAATAATCATCTGGAGAGCAAGGCATTTTTTTTTTTTAATCTTGGAGAAGAGATTTATTGGGTATGTGATAACTGTTATCAAGTTCTGATGGGCCATGGTGTAGAAGAGGCATTAGCTTTGTCAAGTTGTTCGAGAGGGAGAGGCCAGGAAGAGTGGGTCAAAGATTCAAACAGTCAACCTTCCACTTGATGTGATGGAACATTTTCTCATAATTAGTGTGATCTCAAAATGGAGATTGTTGCCTTGGAAGGTAAGAGGTTCCTGCTCATCGGAGGACTTCAGGCAATAGTTTGTCAGCTGTATCTTGGCATATGAAAAGGGTATCCTGTTACAGGAATAGGTTGAGCTAGTTGGCCACTGAATTCCCTAAAACTATAAGATACCATGATTTACATTTTCTGATCTGGACAATGATTCCATGAGCAAGGTCGGAATCAATTATGGTTGTGCTGTTTCTACAGCTAATAAAAAATAAATTTCATATTTTTTTTTCTGAAGGCTTAATTCTCAAAGTTTTTTGTGACTATGTGGTATTTTTTGAGATGGCAATGACACTGTTATTTTTTGGGGGGCTAGGCAATGGTGTTAAGTGACTTGTCCAGGGTCACACAGCTAGTAAGGGTTATCTGTCTGCAGTCGGATTTGAACTCAGGTCCTCCTAAATCCAGGGCTGGTGCTCTATCCACTGCGCCACTGCACTTTATCCATTGCCCCAGTGATATTCTGATTAATATTACAAGAGACTGTTTTGAATGTGAAGAAGTTTTTTATCCCCCCCAAAGGTTATATACTCATTTCAAGAGTATGACAGAAAAATATTTTCAGTGAAAAAAAAAAAAACAGTTCCTACCATTAGTAACATTTGCCCCAGGTAATTGTTCTGTTAGAAGAATAGAGTGGCAAGAAAGTTTCAATAGGTTGCCAGGGACCTGTGAACTTTTGAAAGGGAGTCAGTATCATTCTGTCAAGGTCCATTCATTGCATACATTTAAATAAAGTTGGAAAATGCACCTTTCCTTCAAGGGATAAAATTAAAGAGTTGAACATCTCTCCACCCAGCCTGTTCTTATACCAGTTGTACTTAGCTGGTGAATCAGGCCAACTGCACTGAGTTACATTTAATGGGAAAAAAAATGAGACTTTCTGGAGATTCCAAGTACCCCACAAATAAGTAACCTAAGAAAAAAATCTTGTTTAGTGCCTGCAATCATTCCTACCCAAGCTTGTCTTAGGGGAATTTTTCACTCTTTCACCTCATAATTCCCACCTAGAAAACATGATAAATATGATAAATATCTTCATGGTACCATTGACCTGCCTTCTCCCTGTCCTGATGCCTAGACATTGTTGTCATTCAGTTATATCCTACTCTTCATGACTCCATTTGGGGTTTTCTTGGCAAAGATACTGGAGTGGTTTGCCATCTATTTCTTCAGTGGATTAAGAAAAATAGAAGTTAAGCTACTTGCCCAGAGTCACACATGTAGTGAGTGTCTGAGGCTGGATTTTGACTCAGGTCTTTCTGACTCATAGACCAGCATTCTATCTACTGAGCCATCTAGTTGCTCAGCATACTAACCCCAATCCCCCACTTACAAGTACATAGTTTAAAAGAGGTAATCTGAACAATGGAAGTTTAGAGGACAACAAAAGAGAATACATAATAAAACATTTGGAAAATAAAGGATAAATTTTAGTGAAAAAATATCTTCAAAATGCATATAACTTAGCATCACAAATTATTAGATTAATCCCTACCACTCCAAGGGAATATTGTTAGTTGTGCTGAGAGATACCTGGTTTCCAATCATAAGCTCGTATTTTGTGACTACAAATCTTTATTTTCTTCTCTTAGATGTTGAAAAGGGATGAACTCAAACTGTAAGAGCACTATTGACTAGTTGTTTTTTAAATGGGCTTTTAATATCTTTTGTCTTTTTATATCAGTGTATTTTCCCCATTATATTTCTCCCCCTCCAAGAAAGCCATTTCAAACTGTAAATAATATTTTCAAAGTAATAAAAAGAAGAAAAATCAGCATAAGTTACCAGTACATTGAAAAAAATTTGAAAGTATACACAACATAGATAATTTTTGGACCTCCCACTTCTGCAAAGGGTTAGGGTGGGAATGTTTTCTCAAACATATTCTCTTGAATGATGTGTATTCTTTATAATTTTATAATATTCACTGTTCTTTTTTGTAGTTTTTATTTCTATTTACATTTTAACTAGTTTAAAAAAAGTAGGTAGCAAATTTTTTCCCTGGTTATCTCTCAAGTAACAAAAAAGCCTTGAGACAATTATTTGAAATAATTCAAATCATGTTAGGCCTTTTCATCTAAATATTCAATGCAAGAGGAAGGTGGGAGAATTTTCCCCCCCTAATTCCTCCAAGATTCAGTCCTTCAGAGCATGCAACTCATTAGGAGACAAGCCCAAGGAATAAAGAAGGAACAGTCCCCTGCTAACTACACACACATTATTCATCAAATGATATTACGAGGTAATTTTTAAATTGGGGAGACTTATGTTGCTCCTGGTCTTTTCCAATATTTCATTGTGATTCTTTTTGTTAGGCTTTTAGGTATGGTGCTAAGTTTTTCTTCTGTTCTTAATAAAATCAGAGAATAAAACTTCTAGAAAAATAAAAAAAAATCCAAGATCATTTTTCTTTTTTTACATTTTTTCCCAATTAATTATGATTTAGTTTCTTTCTTTCCTAACTCTTGCTTAACTCCTCTTGGATAGAAAGAATGAAAAAGACATGAAAGAAAACCTTTTAATGAATACATATAGCCAAGGAAAACAATTTCCCTTATTTTGCATGTCTAAAAACGTATCTCATTTTGCACCTAGAGTCTTTCTCTCTTAAGAGCTAAGTAACACACTTTATTATCTCTCTTCTGTAATTATGGTTGGTTTTTACATTGATTAAAATCTTTAAGTTGCTTAAAATTGGTTTTCTTTACTGTGTAGTTGTCATTATTAAGTTGTAAGTTAATGTTTTTTTTTTAATTTTTAATTTTTTAGGTTTTGGGACCTTCCCTAAAACTTGGTTTGCTGAAGGGACTAAAGGCTTAGATTGTTGACATCACTTTTTCATCACCTGAGTATAGAGCAGTGATGAGGAGTTTTATGGGAGCTCTGGTGCTTGGCTTTTGGAACAGAAGAGGAAATTCATGCAAAATAAACTTACTTTCGTCAATCAACTAGAGGTATGTTCAATTCTTACCATTGCTGAATATCCTTCACCTGTTATAGCTAAATAACTTGTATGTGTTTTAATTATTGGATGATCTGCAAGTCTCTCTTTTTGTTCTAATAAAGAAACTAAACTGTCAGGGCCCAGCCTACATCACGAGATTTTTCTGAAGTAATCTTTTTTCTCACTCTTATGATAGTATTTTGTTATATTCATATACTATACTTCATTCAGTTATTCCACAGTAGATGATCATCCACTTAGTTTCAAATTCCTTGATATTACAAAAAAACTTATAATTATTTCATACTTATGGGTTTTTTCACCATTTTTGATATCTTTAGGATATAGTGAAAATATTAGTATTGTTCAGTCAAAGGACATATACAGTTTAGTAACTTTGGGGACATAGTTCCAAGTTGTTTTCTGCAGTGGGTAGAATAGTTCCCAGTCCCTCCAATAGTACATTAATGTGCCTGTTGTCCCAAATCCTCTATAATATTTGTCATTTTCTTTTTTCTTTATTTTTTTTTCATTCTGATGGGGGAAGGGTGAGGAGGGACTTCATAGTTGCTTTAATTTACGTATCTCCAATTGTTAGGGATTTGAAGCATTAATATATAAATATATGTATATATATGCATATATATACATATATGCATATATATGTATATATATATGTGTATATATATACACACATATATATACATATATATATGTTTATATATATACACATATATATATATAACATATATATATACATATATATATATATATATATATATATATATTATATATATATATATATATATATATATATATATATATATATGTTTAGCCATAGTTTGAATTTTCTCCTTAGAAATGTTTGCTTATATCCTTTGATTTTTCAATTCAGGAAAGACTCTTTGCATTCTTATAAAACTGAATAAGTTCCTTACATAGCTTGAAAATGAGATCTTTATCAGAATAATTTACCTGAAATATTTACCAGCTGTTTCCCTTCTAATTTTAATTGGACTGGTTTTGTTCGTGCAAAATATTTTAAAATTTTATTCAATCAAAATTGTTCACTTTATTATCTTTTACCTTTCCTAATTTTCATTTGGTCATGAAATCTGTTACTCATTGATCTGAAAGGTCATTTCTTCATTACTTCTCTGATTTGTTGGTTATATGATATTTTATATCTTATGTACCCATTTGTGAGTTATTTTAATATGTGATATGGCATATTGGTCTGAAGCTAATTCCTAAAGTCTGATTTCCATTCATACCTATAGTTTTGTTGTCAAATAATGTGTCCTTACCCCAATGACAACTCATGGGTGAACTGTACTAAGGTCTATTTTTAGTAGACAGGGTCTTCAGGTTTATCTATTATAATGTTATTATGTTCATTTTTCTTCTTTATATTGCTTATCTAATCTCTGTTTTTTAACTAGTATCAAATTGGTGAGTCAAGGTATAAATGATGAATATATATGCTTTCATTAAAGATAATGATGAGAATGAGACAAAATACTATTTTTTTTCATTTAGCCAAAACTGTCCCCATGGCAAATTAATATATTTAAACACTTTTTTCAATAAAAGAAAGAACAGATAAATGAATTGGACATGCAATCAGTAAAAACAATAAAAAAAAAACCCCAAACAAACTAGAAAATCAACAAAATTTAAAATCTCAGGTAGTTTTGATATAGTAGCTTTATAAATATGAAGAATAATGAATAACTATTTTCAATGCAGTTGGAACTCTCTAGCTATTGCAATGCAAGAGAAATTCATTTTGGGATATGCTTATTCCCAAAGAGAATGAAAAGCTATAAGGCTTCTTGTAAGTATTAAAATTCTACTACATTTTTCTTCTACAGAAAACCATTGTTGAGTCAATTCAGCAGATACTGGGAAAAAGGTCATTGCATGGTGTTGGACATCTCAACATGAAGACACATCTGGAAATGTCAAGGAATTTTTGATATCAGATTCTGTACTATAATACATTCTGATGAAAATAAAACACCATTTCTCACCAAAGGCACTTAATATAAGAGGAGAACCAAGTATGCAGGAAAGCTCAAGGAGGAATCAGGAGCTCAAAGGGCAAGTAGAAATACGGTGGGTAATTAAGTCTAAGTAGATAATTGGATTTCTGCTTTTGAAGTGGCTTCTGTTTGCTCCTGTTTGTGTTCAGGCATGTGAAGAACTTACTAATTGTAAACTAAAGGAGGCTGAAGAGATAGCATGTTCCTATCAAGAGAAAAGGCACAGACTGCCAAAAATATATGAATCCTCTTTCAGGACTTCCCAGTTCCCCGAACAGGTGTGGCAAAGAAGTAATTTACCACTGAAATTCGCCACAAATGTTAGCCATTATAAATGCCAAAAAGAAGAAGAATGGACTGAGAAACTAACTTCAGTCAAAATATGGAGAGTACGTAAAATTTTGTGCCTAAACAGAATGTCTATTATGTGTTTCTGTCAGTACCAAGTAATAACTATGAATGGGAAAAATATAGTTTCTTTCCTTTACTAGGCAAGGGTGAAAGACCTAAAGAATTTTTTCTTTTTATTCCCTACAGGTGATCAAAGAGAATTGTATTCATTAAAAGCACAAGGGAAGAAAGTCAGAGTGGTTTGGCAGATAGACAATCATTCCTGGAGTTAGCAATACATTCAAATCCTTTCTTTGAAACTAACGTCTGTGTGAACCTTTTGTTGTCTAGTCATTTCAGTTGTGTTCAACTGTGACCCCATTTGGGGTTTTCTTGGCAAAGGTACTGGAGTGGTCTGCCATTTCCTTCTCATGCACATTTTACAGATGAGGAAACTGAGGCAAACAGGGTTAAGTGACTTACATAGGGTCACACAGAGGTCTGATTTGAAGTTAGATCTTTTTGACTCCAGTCCAGAAACTGTGCCACCTAGCTGCCCATTTGAACATAGGCAAATCATTTAACATATCAATTTCCTTAGGCAACTCTGGATGACTGCAAGTTGTGCAAGAGTTGCACATCTGCTTCTATAGAGGGAGCTTCCAATACCAATGAAATAATAGTTTTGAATTTTCCTCTCCCCCCAAAATAATAAAAAAAACAAGGATTTTTCAAAGAAGTGAGAAGAACCAGGATGGGCTGAGGTAGAGGGGAATCATAACCTGTGTAAGGTTGAAGAATGGAGTAATACAATTCAAAGCCTGGGCAAAACAAGAAGGGTTCCTGAATGATCGGAATAAGGTAGTGGGTATGCATGAAACTCTTCCCATGGAAAGGGAAACTGAAACATCTTCAGAGGAGTTAGCTTTTTGTATTTGAAGGAATTATTATGGCTGTCCACAGAAGTGCTTTTTTAAGTATTTTATTGTTCTCCAATCACATGTAAAAATAAATTTTCATTTTCATTTTTAAAATTTTGAGTTCCAAATTTCTACCTTCCTCCCTCTCCATCTACCATCCCCTCACTGAGAAAGCAAACAATTAAATATACATGTGTAGTCATGAAAACATTTCCATATTAGTCATGTTGTAAAAGAAAAGATAGACCAAAAAAAATGAAGAAAAATAAAGTAAAACAAAAGTGTGCTTCAATCTGTTTTCAGAACTATCATTTCTTTCTCAGGAGATGGATAACAGTTTTCATCATGAGTCCTTCAGAATTGTCTTGGAATATTGTATTGCTGAGAATAGCCAAGTCATTCACAACTGATGATCTTCTAATATTGCTGTTACTTTGTACACAGTAAATTTCATTTTGTATCAGTCCATGAAAGTCTTTCCAGGCTTTTCTGAGAGCATCCTGCTCATCATTTCTTATAGCACAATAATATTTCTTCATAATCACGTATTACAACTTGTTCAGCCATTCCCCAATTGATGGGCATCCCTTCAATTTCCAATTCACTGGCCCAAGAAAAGAGCTGCTATAAATATTTTTGTACATATAGGTCCTTTTCCTTTTTTTTTAAGCTCTTTTGGGATATAGAAATAGTACTGGTATTGCTAGGTCAAAAAGTATTCATGGTTTTATAGCCCTTTGAGAATAGTTCCAATTTACTCTATGGTTGAATCAGTTCACAATTCCACCAATAGTGTATTGATGTCTCATTTTTTCCTACATCCCCTTCAACATTTGTCATTTAGCTTTTCTGTCCTATTAGCCAATCTAATAGGTTTTAAGTAATACCTCATAATTGTTTTAATTTGCATTTCTCCAATCAATAATGAGTTAGAGTATTATTGGAAAATATGTGGGAAAATTGGAACACTAATGCATTGTTGGCAGAATTATGAACTGATTCAACCATTCTGGAGAGCAATTTGAAACTATGCCCAAAGGGCTATAAAACTGTGCATACCCCTTTATGCAGCAATACCACTGCTAGGTTTCTTTCTTTCTTTTTCTTTCTTTCTTTCTTTCTTCTTTCTTTCTTTCTTTCTTTCTTTCTTTCTTTCTTTCTTTCTTTTCTTCTTCTTCTTCTTCTTCTTCTTCTTCTTCTTCTTCTTCTTCTTCTTCTTCTTCTTCTTCTTCTTCTCCTCCTCCTCCTCCTCCTCTCCTCCTCCTCCTCCTCCTCCTCCTCCTCCTCTCTCTTTCATCTTCTTGCACAAAATGACTAATATGGAAGTGTTTTACATGATTGCATATGTATAACCTATATTGGACTGCTTGCCTTCCCTTCCCTTCCCTTCCCTTCCCTTCCCTTCCCTTCCCTTCCCTTCCCTTCCCTTCCCTTCCCTTCCCTTCCCTTCCCTTCCCTTCCCTTCCCTTCCCTTCCCTTCCCTCTCTCCCTCCCTCTACCTCTCTCTCTCTCTCTCCCTCTCTCTTTCCTTGTCAATTTGAGGTACGTGGAAGGGGAAAGAGACTCATGTTCCATGTTCTCTCAGGAAAACAGACTCGGTGATTGCAATCAATAGAAGTGAATGATATTCTTGTGTTCCAAAGGTCATAGACAAGAATACCTAAAGTTCTACTTTCTTTTGTCCTTGGGAGTTTAACTATGAAATTTATGTAGAATAACTGGTTAACATTTGTCTCAATGTTGCCTATTTGTCCCTTAAGCCAGGTAGTTCGGCCCTAGCTGCTCCCCAACTCCCACTCCATTTAATGCACACTGGTGGCATTGAAAGTCACAGTAAACAAAATAATGAAGAAGATTATCATAATATAATAAAGAAGAATATATCTCTGTCTGGGAATATGGCTAGGGAAAAGGAGAATAGAGAACATTCCCTTGGCAGCTAGCTTTCATAGCTGAGAGATCAAAAAAAAATCTACTACCATTCCTCCTTTCTAGTTGCTGGCATCCCCTTCACTTCAGTGGATTTCTGTTCTAGAAATATACTTTCTCTCTCTCTCTCTCTCTCTCTCTCTCTCTCTCTCTCTCTCTCTCTCTCTCTCTCTCTCTCTCTCACCCTTTTTGGGGTTTTCTTGGAAAACATACTGGAGTGGTTTGCCATTTCCTTCTCCAGATCATTTTGCAGATGAGGAAATTGAGGCAAACTGGGTTACATGATTTGCCCAGGGTTACATAGCTAGTATGTGTCTGAGTCCAGATTTGAATTCAGGAAGATGAGTCTTCCTGACACTAATCACAGCACCTTGCTGACTGTGCCACCTAGAGTAAGCACATAACAAATGTTAATGATTGGTTGAACTAAACCATCCTTTGTTTGAATATTTCTAGTGGTTTATCTGTTATATTATTATATGGAAGGGGATCTATACTATTTTTGGTTTAAATATTAATAATATAATAACTGTAAGGATTAAATGTTTTGGGGTGAGGGAAAGATGATGGATAAAAGGTGAAGTCACTTAAAGAGGCAAATTCACAACTAACAATTTTATAAATTATGTAAATTTTTCTCTAAAACTAAATTTTCTTTCCTTATTTTTCCCTTCCATTACACACACACACACACACACACACACACACACACACACACACACACACGGAGATATATATATATATATATATATATATATATGTATGTATACTTTTTTTCCCCATCAATATATAGGTGCCACCAAAATTTGTACAATCTCATGGTAATGGCCAGTGTTGTAGCCATTTCCTAGTTGTCAGATAGTAATAGGATTATGAATATGCAGGTTTCTAGGAAGGAAACCAAGCTCTCATAAGCCATATTTTAAAACACCCTTACTCAAAATAATTAATAATTAGAGAAATTCATGTTAAAGCCACTCTGAGGCTCCATTTCACACCATCATACTGGTAAAGTTGAAAAAAGGAAAATGAGAAATGATGGAGGGACTACAGGAAAACATGCATCTTTATGTACTGTTGGTGGAGGTGTATGTTGGTCAAGCCATTCTGGAAGTCAATTTATAACCATAACTAAAAAGTTACTAAACTGCACATTCCCTTTGAACCAGCAATACTGCTACTAGACCTACACCAAAGAGATTAAATAAAAAGGAATATTAGTGCACAAATATTCACAAATTTGCAAAATATACAAATATTATTTTTATAGTTATAGAGAACTGGAAACAAAGTGAATACCTGTCACTTGTGGAATGGCTGAACAAATTATGAAATGCAAATGTAATTGAATGTTATTTTGTGACAAGAAATGATGAAACGATTCTTTCACAGAATCCTGGGAAAATTTATATAAATTGATACATATTGAAGTGAGCAGAACCAGGAGAACAATTTCTTGAATAACAATAATGGACTTAAGAACTCTGATCATAGAGAGAACAAGAATGATTTAGCAAGATAGAGAAATATTTTTTTTAGTAAAAACAATTCAATTATTTTTAAAAGAACTGTTCCATTGATACCTATGCCTGAATTTGTAAAGGGAATTGTCTGACTGGTACTGCTGCTTTATTCTGTAAAGTGTGTCTATATTATAGGGAACTCTACTGCTGAAAAAGAGATCAAAAATTAATTGTACCTGAATTTAATCCTCTCCAAACATTTTAAGTAGTTATGGGGTACAGTAGAAAGAGTCTTCTTCACTTGAAATATGTTTCTGAAGCATTATCAGATTTTAGCAGTGTTTGCATGATATAAAGATAGTGTCTTTTGCTTCAGATCTGTTGTGGTGAGTTTCTATCCACGTCTACCTTTCCATTATGGAGTTCAACTAACTCCTCAGTTGGCAGCAGGTGATTGCAGTGATTTATCATTAGAAGATCCACTCCTGTTTATAAAGCTATTTTGTAAACAGTGAAGTTGCTCATTCTCTACCCAACCAAGCATAGGTTAGCATCCTGTCAGTCTATCAGTTGTGTATGGCATGAATGTCATATAAAATCTGTCACCTTATTGAAAGTCTTGATAATGAATATGGATATCATAACATTATTTATTTCATTTGAAATTCTTCTGAGCTGAGTTGGGGCTCGAATATTAGCTTCCTAATATATTTTCACTCAGCTGAGAGTAAGACTGTTTGTGTGTATCTACAGGTTATCCATCTTCAGACACTCTCAAACACAAGTGGATAGGTAGTTATGCCTACTACCTAAACATCTGCAAGTAGGGTGTAAACCAAGTGGCACACAGGTACAAGGGAAGTCTCATGCTAAATCCACTGAGATTTTTGCTCTAGTCATTGTGTCCTTAACATGGTCATCAAAGTGTAGTTAAAATGTTCAAATCCTTGGCTTACTTAAAGGTACTAAGATACTCTTCTTGACTTCCTAATGTCAATCAAAGCTAGCATGTCTTTGAGCAGGGTACTTTCAAAGTCTCTTCCTTGATCTTCTTGAATCTTCACAAGAAGCCCTATCTTCCCTGAGAAATATTTCCTCAATACATTTAGCAACAGTGGAAATTCAATCGTTCCTGATTTTGTATAATTGTACATACCTGGCAGATTAGTCAGTCACTACCAATACATGACACATTCTTGCTTTCTTTTTGCAAACATAGGAGACAAATATAGACATATTCTGGAAGTTTCCTGGTGCTATTATTCACCAAATATGTAGTTATGATTAGCAGTATTTTTCCTTACACATAACAGACACAAGTCTCACACTTCTTGGTGATTTGCAACCATCTTAGACAAGCAAAAAAAAATTCTTTATAATTTTAGGTTACTTTCTTGTATTTTGTATTTCTTATTTTCTTGTATTTCTTGTTTTTCTCTAAACCATATGTTTAGAGTAATTATGTATAGCTTTCATGGCCATAGAGCAATATGCACTGGGTCACCCTAAATGATTCTTGGTACTATGTGTAGGATCAGTGACAGTCCACTACTGTTCTTCATTGCCAAGGTGCTTTCTATTGATTGGAACTCAAACCTTTCATTATCACCTTCATTCTTGGCTTATGTCACTTCATATCTTTTGTCAATAATATACTCTGTTCTCTAGTCATCCACAGAGAGCTAAGGTAATGAAAGTTGGTTCACATATGCTGTTGACATG